ATCTTAGAGATACTGATTCGAGTGGCTCAAAGGGATCGGATTGCAGACTCGTGAGAACGAGGGCGAGATCCCAAGAGGGCATAAGAGGGGGGCGAGATGGATTAATTCGCCTAGCACCCCTAAGGAACTGGATGACCAGGTTATGCTTTCCCACGGTGCCGCCAGCTACCGCGCTATGATAAGCGGAGATGGCGGCCACGTAAACCTTGAGAGTGGAGGGCGACAGCCTGCTGTCCAACTTCTCTTGAAGGAAAGAGAGCACAACACTAATCTGGCAATTTCGGGGGTCTTCTCTGCGAGAGACACACCATTCAGTGAATAGACTCCACTTCAGGGCGTAGGCGCGCCTCGTGGAGGGGGCTCTAGCCTGAGTGATGGCATTAACCACCGCAGTCGGTAGGTTACCTAAGTCTTCCTCGCGTCTAGGGACCACACGTGGAGGTTCCAAAGATCGGGGCGAGGGTGCCAGATGGTGCCCTGTCCCTGAGAGAGTAGGTCCTCTCTCAAAGGGATCCGCCAGGGGAGGGCCGTCACGAGGAGTGAGAGCTCTGATATCCAGGTCCGGTTGGGCCAAAGGGGCGCAACTAGCAGAACCTGTTCCTCGTCCTCCCTGACCTTGCACAGAAACTGCGCGAGCAGGCTCACTGGGGGAAACGCATACTTGCGCATGCCCCGAGGCCAGCTGTGGGCCAGTGCATCCATGCCGAGAGAGCCCTCGGTCAGGGAAAAAAACAACTGGCAGTGAGCGTTCTCGGGGGAAGCAAACAGATCGATCTGGGCCTCCCCGAATCGCGCCCATATCAGCTGAACAGACTCGGGGTGGAGTCTCCATTCTCCAGGGCGTAACAGCTGTCGTGAGAGCGCATCGGCTGCACGATTGAGCGTGCCTGGGACGTGAATGGCGCGCAGCGATTTCAGCCGCGGGTGACTCCAGAGGAGCAGACGGCGGGCGAGCTGAGACATGCGGCGAGAGCGCATACCCCCCATGCGGTTGATATACGCCGCCGCCGCCGTACTGTCCGTCCTGACCAGCACGTGTTGCCGCTCCAGCACCGGTAAAAAGCGGTGGAGAGCGAGGAACACTGCCAACAGCTCTAGGCGATTGATATGCCAATGCAGCTGGGCACCCTTCCAGAGGCCCGCAGCCGCATGCCCGCGACACACGGCCCCCCAACCCGTGTTGGAAGCGTCTGTTGAAACAACAACATGGCTGGACGCCTGTCCTAGAGGCACACCGGCCTGTAGGAACGAGGGGTCGTTCCAAGGGCTGAGGGCGCGGCGACACAGCGCAGTAACCGAGACCCGGTGTGTGCCCGCGTGCCATGCGCGTCTGGGGACCCGATCGTAAAGCCAGTGCTGAAGTGGTCTCATATGGAGCAACCCGAGCGGCGTGACGGCGGCTGCGGATGCCATATGCCCCAGGAGCCTCTGAAAGAACTTCAGTGGGACCACTAGTTTGCTGTCGAGCTCCATCAGACAGTTCAGCAACAGGCGAGCGCGTTCCTCGGAGAGGTGCGCTACCATGGTGATCTAGTCCAGCTCCATCCCGAGAAAAGAAATCCTCTGCACGGGGGCGAGTTTGCTCTTTTCTCGGTTGACCTGAAGCCCCAGTAGGCGGAGATGCCGAAGCACCTCGTCCCTGTGCATAATCAATTGCTCCCGCGAGTGGGCTAAAATCAGCCAGTCGTCGAGATAACCGAGTATGCGAATGCCCGCGAGCCGAAGGGGCGCTAGGGCACCCTCCGCGAGTTTGGTGAAGACCCGCGGAGACAGAGAGAGCCCAAAGGGGAGGACCTTGTACTGCCACGCTCGACCCTCGAACGCAAACCGCAGAAATTGGCGGTGGCGTGGAAGAATGGAGACATGGAAATACGCGTCCTTCAGGTCTATGGCTGCAAACCAATCCCGAGGACGAACGCATTGGAGAATGCGCCTCTGCGTGAGCATTCTGAACGGCAGCTTGTGCAGACAGCGGTTCAAAACGCGCAGATCTAGGATTGGCCGTGACCCACCGCTCTTTTTGGGTACGATGAAGTATGGGCTGTAAAACCCACTCTCCATCTCGGCTGGAGGAACCGGCTCGATTGCACCCTTCGCCAGGAGGGCAGCAATCTCCTCTCGCAAGACAGGGGCGGACAGGGGGTTGACCCTGGAGAAATACACGCCCATAAACTTGGGGGGCCGTTTCGTGAACTGAATCGCGTAACCGAGTCTGATTGTGCGTATGAGCCACCGCGAGGGGCTGGCCCGCGCTAACCAGGCAGGCAGAGCCCTCGCTAATGGAGTCATCGCTACAATCGCTGACGTACCAGCGGTGGGGCAGCGCGGAGTGGGTGTGCTGATCCGGGAAGCACGAGGGTCCCGCGGAAGAGCTGGAGGAGAGCGATTCGCTCTGGCTCCGCACCCTGACTCCGGAGAGGGGGCTGGAGGGCTGAGGGAAGGGAGACCGTCCCCCCAGCGCTCGTGAGCCACTGGCGAAGCACGTAGAGTCTGCGAGCCGGAAGGCAGCGCGTCCCGGACTGGCAGAACTTGTGCAGTCACATCCGGGGAAGGGAAAAAGTGCTCTTTTACTGATGTTTTGGTGGCACTGAAAAGTACCGTTGTTATCGGGGCCCCGCCCTCCAGCGGGGAAAGAGCAAATTTCCTCTTCTCCGGATGGCCTGTCTCAGGGACGCTTCGCGGTCCGTTTACCGGACTTAAAGGCGCCCTGGGCAGGAGGGGCTGCCTGCTTTCGAGGTGAACGCCGCGCCCGCTTGGCCGGAGGCGCAGGCGGGGGCGGGGCAGCACTCGTTGGCGGGCGCCCTCGGCGAGGAACAGCGGAGGTGGATGGCTCGGCGGGCGGAGCGGGCTTACGGCCACGCCGATAGATGACATTGCCCATCGCATCCGACTGCTCTTTCACCGCCTTGAATTCCTGGGTGAATTCACCGACGGTGTCGCCGAACAGGCCAGCCTGGGATATGGGCGAGTCAAGAAAGCGAACTTTGTCAACGTCGCGCATATCGGCCAGGTTTAGCCAGAGGTGGCGTTCCTGAACCACAAGTGTGGACATCGTCCTCCCCAGCGCACACGCGGCGGACTTAGTAGTCCGAAGAGCATAGTCGGTCGCGGTGCGCAGCTCATGTAATAAGCTTGGGTTGGACCCGCCCTCGTGCAGCTCGGCCAGCGCCTGCGCTTGGTAGCGCTGGTAGGTGGCCATCGCGTGCAAAGCAGAAGCAGCCTGGCCCGCAGCCTTGCAGACAACCTACAGGCTTTGGACGGGAGGCGGGGCAAACCCCGCCACGTAGAGGCGCCGCGCGGACAAAGATTGACCGCGATAGCGCGCTCCACTGACGGGATCGCCTCATACCCCCTGGCAGCTCCGCCGTCAAGGGCGGTGAGGGCGGAGGCACTCGCAGCACGGGCAGAGAAAGGTGCCCTCCAGGACTGCGTGAGCCTACTGTGCACTTCCGGGAAGAAGGGGATGAGAGGCTTCGAAGGCTTCGCCTTCTGGTCCTCTACGTAGCACCCATCTAGTCGGTCCGGCCGCGGAGCTGGGGGATAAACCATCTCCAACCCCACGGCCGAAGCAGCCCGGGAAAGCACGGCTAACATGTCCGCTTCAGGATCCGATTTGACAGCGCTCACCTGCCCGGAGGGGGCGAGCGGGTCCGGATCTTCGTCGGACAGTGAAAGCCCACCCTCCGATGCCGCGGAGGACATCTGATCTCCGGTGTCAGCGAGTGTGAGAGCTACCATCTGGTTAGACGGATCACTCTCACCACCCGAAGCTTGGATGGAGCGCCGTGAGGAGCGAGAGGTCCGCGAGCCCGTGGGCGGCGGATTAGCTCCCGCTGAAACCCTCAGATCTGCCCGAGCGCCTGCTGCTTTTTTAGAACAGGAGGCAACTGGGGTGGCTCGCTCTCTTGCGAAAGTTAGCTGCGATCTTAGCTGTGCAACGGTCATGGCATCGCAATGACGACATGAACCGCCCGCGAGCACCGCATTAACATGCTGGACCCCCAAACATGCAATGCAGTGATCGTGTCCATCATCCGGAGACAGGAAACCCCCGCATCCAGAAACGCACAGTCGGAGCGCCATCCTGAAAAGGACGTGCTGCACGACTGTGTTGCTCTTTTAGGAAAGTTGCAACTATACGCACCGCTCTGGAGGACCGGACCCAAAGAACCGCAGGCAAGGGAGTAACCCAGCTCGACCGTCTGCCACCGCGAAGACCCACTCTGGACCGGGAGACACACTCGTTCGCTCTGAAGTGCTGATCAGCAAGAGGAACCCTCATCGACTCACTCAGAAAGGATCTGAAGCGAAAAGGAAGGCGTCTGCTGGCTTCAGGTGTGCTTATATGCTGAGATAATTGCAGATGTCGCACACCTGCGCAAGCTTACGCTGCCAATTAATTTCATTCATTGGCCCGTTCAATACTCTCCAGATAAGCGGCTTCTGATCCGAATCCTCCCATTCATGGCACTGAAGTTCCCCAACCGAAGGGGAACCGAAACATTAGTGGTTTCATTTCCTGAAAAACTTCAAATAAAAAACTTGAAAATATTGTTATGAGTGCAGATCATCATCTACTTCTTGAAATTAGTTTAGATTAATACAATGTTCTGAATACACAAGCGAAAAGAAAACAATTTTTTTGACAGGACCCTTCACTTTGTATAGAATGAACATTTTCGGGTTTGTAGATGTTGAAAGCATTTTAATTTTTGGGTGAAATGCAGTATGCGATTCTGAACTGTTTGACAGCTACTGTGTGAGATCAATCCTGCATTAAAAATACAGAAACAGAAACTTAAATTGCGCATGCATTTTTAAACGGCTAGAAACTTACTATATAAATGTCATGCTGAAAGAACTTTAGGTCTGAAATGAAACTGATTCCACCTGGACCCATGAAGTTCCTCACACAATGATGATTCCTTTAACTCTTTTATTTCTCAGTCTCTAAAGTTATGTGCATATAAATGAAATGTGATGCTTGCCGTTTGCCCTAGAGTCCACAGTGTTCATCCCGTTGACTGCATACTCGATTGAGGAGGATATTGGAGAACTTTTGATTCCTGTGCGAAGATCTGGAGATGTCAGTCAGGAGCTCATGGTGGTCTGCTTCACACAACAAGGTGAATTATGAATGATGCTAAAATTATTCTCATTGGTAACACTTTACAATAAGATTTCATTAGTTATTTCATTAGTTAAGTATGAGCAATACTTGTACGGCATTTATTAATCGTAGTTTAACATTTAATAATGTCTCATTAAAATTTTAATTCTCATTTGTTAACATTAGTTAATGCACTCTGAGTTAACTAAAAACGCCTCACAGCAAGAAGGTCGCTGGTTCGAGTCCCAACTGGGTCAGTTTGCATGTTCTCCTTGTGTTCACGTGGGTTTCCTCCGGGTGCTTTGGTTTCCCCCATAGTCCAAAGACATGTACTGTAGGTGAATTGGGTAAGCTAAATTGTCCATAGTGTATATGTGTTTGTCCTGATCCTCCAGGTTGGGGGTTAAGCATTGAGCTAGCAACCAACCTCGTAAAAACTAGATGTTACGAAACTCCAATATGGTGCGGTTAAATATCAACTTCGATATAAATGGCCCTGAGAGGAAGTAATGTTAACAAGTATGAGTACATGCTGTAATAAATGTATTGTTTATTGTTTCGTCAGCAGTTTTGTTTTAAAGACAACAATATACAAAAAATAATAAAATAAAAATGGCATTTGCGTCGCATCTGACTTATATTCACGATCTTAAACACATTAAAAAAAATATATTGTTTCCATTATCTTTAAATCATCTTCAAAATTGGTCTTTACATCACTGACCACATAACTTTTTGATTTAGTGGCTAAATTTTATGAATTCGTACGATCCAATTCTTAAAATTTAGTACAATTTGCTCATCACTCAATGACGGTTGGGTTTAGAGGTTGGGTGCCATGCCTCCTTTTTAAAAATCAGACATTTTTTGCATGACAGAACTTGTACGAATTCATACAAATTAGCCACTAAATTGAAAAAACGTTAAATACTTACGTTTTCTCCGGAGATCAGGCTGCACTGACAGGTTATTCACCACATCATATATGTGAAAAAATACTGTATTACTGGTAGACCTCAATTCTTTTCTTTTTTATTTTTGAACTTCTTTGGATCTCAGCGTAATGTCTAACTTTTGAGGATTTTTTTGGTCTACTTCACTTTGTCAGGCAGGTCGGTCCCATTTAAGTGTTTTCTTTATTGAGAATCAGGCCTGGGTGTGCCTAGAGAAATTTAACTCAGGTGTGATAACCAGAATTAAGTTGTGTTTTAATGGGGCAAATTCTTTTCCCATACAGGGCTATGTGGTTTTTTTTTTTGTTTCCTCTTAATGATAAAAAAACATCATTTAAAAAGGCAATGTGCGTTTTCTTGTTTTATCATTGACTAATATTTAAAATTTTTTGATGATCTAAAGCATTAAAGTGTAATGAACATAACTAAAAAATAAATTAGTAGGGGCAAACACTTATTCACAACACATATATAACTGGCAGTCAAACTGAAAGGGAATACTGTGAAAATGTCTTTGCTCTGTTAAACATCCCTTGTGAAATACTTGAAAAAATAAATTTCACTTAAGGACTAAGAATTTTCCCATCAACTGTATATGTGCATGTGTATGTATAACCTATTGGTTATTATTATTACTTATAAAAAATCAACAGTTCTTGAATTAAAGAAAAGAAAATTCTTGTTATAATGTTATAATTTATTGAAGGTCTTATTTTTCATAATATACGCTACATGATTAGACTTTAAAATGACCTTTAACCTTTACCTTCAAGTGTTAAAATAAATGTGAATGGTCAAAACTTTCTCCAAGCTTTGCTTTATTCTTATCTGTGTAGGTACAGCCAAAGGCACGGTTCCCACTACGGTGCTTTCCTATTCGGACTATATTTCCCGAGCTGAGGAGCACCACAGTGTGCTGCGTTTCGATAAGGGTGAGACTGAGAAGCAGTGCCGTGTAGTCATCATTGATGACTCCCTCTACGAGCCAGAGGAAAGCTTCAATGTAACTCTCAGCATGGCCATGGGTGGCCGTCTTGGACAAGAGTTCAGCACCGCTAGAGTCACCATCCTACCTGATGCAGATGACGGTGAGAGGCTTCACTTTGCTCCATGTGTTTAGTTTATTTGGTTTGCTTGCTGTTTTGATTTTTGCCTGGGGTGTCTATGCATGCAAATAGTCTATCCTGCTGGCAGATGCTATTTCCAATGGTTCTGCTCACCAGTGCCTGATTTAAACAGTCAAAAGGATGATCAATGCATCCTTGCCATTGCAGTAGGGGACACTTAAGTTTTTTTATTATATAGGAGATCACAAATGTGTTTATTTTAACTCAAAATTATTAAAACATTGAAAAGTGTAAATATAATAATATTTAATAATAAGTGCCATTTTTGTTCTAATAAGGCAGCATCAGCTTGATAAATATTTCCAGTACTAATAATATAAAAACCGGGGTGCAAAATCTGTTTCTTTCCAATGAGAATAAATAGCAGCTATATACACTTATTTCAAATTAAACTTTTTCACATACAGTGAAAATGGAAGATTTTGTCAGAGTTCTGCCACTCTGGTCTTGTAAATTCTTGTTTTGGTGGCAGAGCTCGGACACTAGCTCAGTGTCGTCCTGTTTCTGTCATTGTGTGTCTCTGTGTGTGCGCGCACCGTCGTGGGTGTACGCAGAGTGTGCGCGCTCCCGCTCTATGTGGCCGCACGGTCTTTGCGTGCCTCAGACGCGCGCGCTCTTGTACTCGTGTTTGTGTTTTCGTCTGTCTGCAGCGTGGTGTTTCATTCCCAGTGTCTCAATCCAGTTGGTTTCGGTTTTGGTCGGCGCTGGGATGAAACATGCACGCTGCGTGTGTGAGCGCACGGTGAGTATTTTCATTCATCATGTGCTTGTGTCTTGCGTCTGTCAAAGCACGTGGCTATGTGTTTACATTGTGGTCACGTGCTTTTGTTGTGTGCTTCAGTGTTGTGCTTGTGTTGTCTGGAACGTGCGGTTAATGAGTTCTCTCACTGGCTTCATGTTCTTGTCCTGTTTTATGTGAGCGCATGGCTTGTCTCTGTCATGCGCTCTCCTGTCTATTGTTTAGTCCCACCCCACTTGTTAACCCATTATTAGTTAATTATGTTCATCTGTTGTGTGTTAATTTCCTACAGTTTATGAACCCCTCACATTTGCTGTCCTGTGCCAGTTCGTCATCACATGTTGTTGTTTGAAATCCTGTCGTATTTCCATTCCTCATCCTTGCCAGTCTGCCCAGTCCTGTTTGTATGTGAATGTAATTGTTTTGTTAATGTTTTCCCTCTCGGGACAGTTTATTTTGCATTTTATTTTATTTTTATTATTTGATGAATTCCCATTCCCCTGCATTTGAGTCCTTGCTCCTTTTTCCCCATTTCCCCTCATCAACCCTGACAGATTTATTCTAGACATACTAGCATATTAGCATGTAGACCATTTTAATGTTCAGTAGTTATGTCATTGGCCTATAAACATTTCTTGCTTGTTATCAAACTATTTCATAACTGTAACAAAAGGCAATTCAATTATAACTTAATGTTGAAACAGCTATCATAACATTATTTATCAAATCATATACGTTGCTCTTTTTGGATTCCGAAAGCTATAGAAATTAATATGTAAAACAGAAAATACATTGGGATTGTTGTTTTTGTTTACATTCCTCAAAACGGTCTATATAATTGCATATATATCATATATTGTATGGGCTGTATAAATAACATCATTCTGTAACACTTTATTTTAAGCCACCATTCATGCTATTAACGAACCATTCACAGAGTTCATTAGCTCAATAAGCTGCTAATTAACTGCTTATTAATAGATAGTAAGGTAGTAGTTGAGTTTAGGTTTTGCGTGGGATAAGGGGTGTTAAATAAGTTCATACTTTATTGTTGCTACTATGCAGTTAACATCTTAATAATAGGCAGGTAATAAGCCAGTAGGTAATAGCTTGAATTGTGACTTAAGCTTAAGTAAATACCGCTATTTTCGACTCTTAAGTAGCCAAGTTTCCATTAGTTTTTTTCTGCTGTATGGTTTTCAACAAGCTGTTTCCATCCAACTTACCTTTACCCATAAACTAGTGTGCTTGATGACGTCACGGCAGAGGAAAGTGAAGGTTTTGGTGTATCACAATAGAAATTTGCTTTGAGCCGTTTCCATACACAATTTTGCTTATAGTACAAATAATTATTCGAGTTAGCACTTCTGGGAGGTGCACATGACATTGACACATGACATAACATTTAACATGCTCTACAAGCGCACTATTGAAAATGTGTCATTTTTTATTATATATAAGGTATTGACATAGAGTTGACGCGCTAAAGTTGAACTTAAAAATTATTTGTCAACATTAGCATTTCCAACAGCTTTGTCGGTAAACATTTTTATATGCTAAACCATTTTTTATTCACAAAAAACTTGTATTGATACCTGACTAGCGTAAATAGCATTGTACTTGGTTTAAATAGCATCTTTTCCTATTTGTACTTAGTGAAAATACTATATATCTCTAAGAAAATGTGCTATTTATACTTAAAAATAAACAGCACCTACAGTATCAAATAAATTATTCAGTGAGACTAAGTTATGTGGAACACATTATCAATGGTATAAGTTGGATTGAAATTAATCATTCATGTTTTGGACTATTTAAGCTATGCACATCGTAACCGACTGGGGGGATTTTAAGATCATTTTAAAGTGTTTATGAGCATTTAGAAAAAAAATTTAGGGAGGGCATCTACTAAAATAAATGGTATTGTTTTAAAACACTGGGGCATATGCAGGATAAGAGATGGCTGAAAACATTGTCTTGACAGGTGCTTTCATTTGAGGCAGTGCAGTCTGGGAAGCTGTCGGAGTCTTTGTTTTAACACTGTCCTGTAGTGATCAAGCAGAGGAATTGGAAGGCAAGATCACACTGAATGTTTAATCTAAATGCATAGGATTTATTGAACACCACAGCAAACCTTGAAACGATTTTCCAGCCATAATTCATAAAGTATGAAAGCAGAGAATAGCGGAGACTCACCCTCAAGTGGGGAGAATGGATTGTCTGTAGGGGAATAGCTATTATTTCAATATAGGGGTTTGGAATTCCTAATCTTTCTGTGACCTGTCTGAACTGGGGGTGGAGCAGTTAAATTAAATTAAATTAAATTAAATTAAATTAAATTAAATTAAATTAAATTAAATTAAATTAAATTAAATTAAATTAAATTAAATTAAATTAAATTTAGTTTATCTTCTGTTCTGTTTTGTTTTGTTTTTGTTTTGTTGATTTTTTGTTATTTTGTTTTGTTGTTTTTCGTCAGTTTTGTTGTTTTGTTTTTTTTCGTCAGTTTTGTTGTTTTGTTTTGTTTTTCTTTTATTTAGTTTGTTTTGTTTTGTTTTTCCTTTGTTTTGTTTTGTTTGGATTTTTTACATTAGGATATTTAAAATTGTAAAATTCTCAGCAAAACAATTTATTATTTTCTTTTATCATGCAATGGCTTTTATTTATCACTATTCATTGTTAATATTAAGGCAAAAACCTTTGTAGACCTTTAGTAATAATTTTAAATGTAGTTACTTCTATTTTGTGGTGCTTAATTTAAGTAATTTACAATAATTTATTTTAGCTGTTATATTTTAGAATTTCACCAGTTTTAGAATAAATATCATTAACATCATATATTACATATACATTTGATAATAAACATTATTAAAAACAATTAATCCATACATTCATTTTATTCTTTCATTCTTTATTTATAAAGAACATTTATAAAAAAATAAAAATAAAAAAAAAGGCAACACGGTATTGGCCAAAATGCTAAAAATGGCTTAGACACAACAGAATAAATGCATCATGATAAGAATACATTACTAAAATATACTGAAATAGAATAAATAGACTCCCACGTTAAAAAGATGTTTCAATTTAAAAGTGGAGAGTGATGACATCTTTTGAATCGAATCAGTAAACAGAGTTTTGCGCTTATCACAAAAGTTGTAGATTTCAACCTTGATCTGCAAACAGACAGAATCTAAAAGACCTACAGATTGATTGATATCAGATTAATATGACGGTGCTAAACTGTGTATTGCTTTAAAAACTAAATGCATATAATAGCAATGTGAAAATAACCTAAATTATTATGTGGCCTGAGAGAAAATGGCAGTAAATGTTTTTTTCAGGTGAGCAATTATTATAAGAATATCAAATCAAAATTATACTCTTAAGCATATGTAACAGATCCTGTCATTTATATCTTTTAATTTTAAAACTTAAAATTTTCTGTTTTATCTAATATGGCATTAAATGCGCATCAAAAGCAGGTCTATTCACCTTGAAGCTGTGTTCGTGCTCATGTCTGCGGGTGCACATGTGTGTCTGTGCCCCAGAAAGCACCTTATCGCTCATCTCCAGGCGTAGTTACAGGTGCTGTTCTCTATCAAATCTCCCCACGGTGCCTCTTTGTTCAGCAACACCTCCGGGCCTCCCTCCCTTCACATTCTCTCCAGAGACCGATGCTTATCCTGCACACACAGGCCAGACTGGAAGGAAAAGATCCAACAAAAACAGCAGATTTTCTCTTTTTAATTTCTATCTACATGAGACTTATGCTGGGAGAAAGCTGCTCTTGAGTTTGTGGGAGGTCTGAAATCTATTTGCATTTTTACGCACACACATGAAAAAAGCGTGTTCAATTTGCTTTTGATGTATTGCAGCGTTTGAAGTAATTCGGTTTTCTACAAGCAAATCTTTCATTAAAAATCTAGCGAAGAACAAAACGTTGGGGAAATCAGATGATGGACAGATCTGTGGATAGACGGTTTATTGCTATTTATGGTGACATTTTATGGGGGTAAATGTGTCGTCCTTTGTGGGGGACAGGGGTTGTATGCCTGAAATTCCCAAATGTTAGTGGCTGCAATGTAATTTAAGCTGGTGCGTGTCAAAACGCTGCCGTGGAGACTTCAGGGTCAGATCCGCAGCCGTCAGTTTGTGATGCCACACTGATGTCTCTGTCAGGAGGTTTACGAGGGTGGACTTTGAGGAATCTTTATTTTAG